TTTTGAGGAAGGATATTTTGGAGAATTTACAAGGACTAAATGAATCATATTCGCAATTCCCGTGCGCGGGAGCAAGCCACTCTCTATCTAGCATTTTAGGACCAACCATGCAATGTTTTAAATTATTCAGGGTATTTGGTGCACTTTAATTTTTTTATGTTCAGGGGTAAGTCGTACAATTTTCGAAGAGTTCGAGGGTGAATAGTGCACTTTTTAATATTCAAGGGATAAATCATACAAGTTGTAAAGAGTTCGAGGATAACGGTGCACTTTTCTTTAAGAACATCGATCACAATATTATTTTTATTATGCCAATAATACATAATTCACATGTGCATATTGTTATATATACTCCTCCGTGTGGGAGGGCAATATTTTTTTCGTTTTGATTTGACACAATTTTTAATGCAATTTTTTACGAGTATTATTTTTGAAGGTAAATTTGTTCTTTTTATTGGTAATATAGTAAATTAAAGAGACTATTAAAAGGCCAATATGTAAAGAAAGTTGAAGAAAAATATATGGCGATATAAAGAGGGAAATGAGAAGAAAAATATAGAATGAAAGAAATAATGAACAACCTAATAAAGACCAATTTAAAAAGGCTTGAAAAAAATTACTATGGAGTAATACTCTTAAGTTTTTTTTACAAGTACAAGGTGCGAGTGTGATAGCACAACTTTCTGCGTTTTCAAAATTAATCTGTACCGATAAAAAAATTATTTAAAATGCTAATACTAATTGAAAACGATGTCTCTGAGTGCGGTGGTATGTATGCATGCATGTGGTACGATAATGTCGCAGCGGTGACATCAACATTCGTAAGGTTTTTCCCAACAGTGAAGGCAAGATATGACTATGGACTGGTCATCTTCATCCTCACATTTTGCCTCATCTCCATTTCTGGTTTTCGGAACGAAGAAATCGTCAACTTGGCTCACAAGCGGTTTTCCGCCATAGCCATCGGAGCTTCTATCTGTGTCATCGTCTCCATTTGTGTTTTCCCTGTCTGGGCTGGGGAAGATCTTCACAATCTCGTCGCTGACAACTTGGAGCTTCTTGGTTTTTTCTTAAAAGGTACTCTCTTCAATTCCATCCATTCTATCTATTCGCTTCGGTCTTAAAAATCTTTTCTTTTTTGATTTTTTTGTCAACTGTGACATTCTTTAACAACAAATTAAACATAATATAAATAATTAAATGCTATAAAAACTTGATACATAAAAAAAAATATCCTAAGATGAACGTAATTATATTAAATTTATTTTATAACTTAATATACTTTTTCAACAATTTATGTTCGAAGAGTGTCACTGGTTGACCAAAAAAAGTCAAAACAGAAAAGATTTTTAAGACCAAATGAGGTATATAATTACTGAGTATTTTATTTTATTTATTTGCATGAAATTGATGCTATGGTTTTTATAATTTAGTAAAATTTTAAAAACTTCATCTGTCCTTAAGCAGGGTTAGTGAATATTTTCAAGAATCAAATACTAAAACATATGAAATTTAATTAATAGGATTTGGAGCTGAGTATTTCAAAGATGAAGAAGACGGCAACAGTGAGGCTAAATCATTGCTAGCTGCAGCAGCTGGCTACACAACTGTTCTCAATTCTAAAACCATTGAAGAAACTCTGGTTAGTAGCTAGTGATGATCCAAACTCACAATTATTTTATTCTCCTAAATTTTCTTCTCTTCTATTTTTTAAAATTTTTAGTTCCAAATTTTGGAATTTATTGGAACAAAATTTTCTTCTTTTTATTAAATGGAACTCCCTCTCTTCTATTTTTAATAATGTTTTCGTTATATATATATATATATACACACACACACTCATATAAACAATAAAATTGTTGTATCAGAGAACGTTAAAAATTAAATAAATTCATAATGTAATTTCAAAATTAAAATAAAGCAACATCAACTCTTAGCTTGATTATTGATTAGATTGGTTGTTTGGTTTTTTCTCCTTTTATATCAATTGTTTTATTTAATTATTTATGAAGGCAAATTTTGCAAGATGGGAGCCAGGACATGGGCGGTTCAAGTTCCAGCATCCATGGAAACAATACCTGAAAATTGGGACATTGACCAGGCAGTGTGCCTCTAGGGTTGAATCCCTCAATGGCTACCTCTCCTCTCAACTTCAAGTACATTTACTATTACTACTTTTCATTCTGAAATTTATAATTTGATTTTCTACGATTTTCATCAATGTTAGACGGTTTCTATCCCTCCTAATCCACCTCATCCTAACCCAAAATATTGTGGGGGACTTACGGCGGGGTTGGGGTGGGGGGTTAAGGGGGTGCATGTGTTAGTGAAATTTGAACCGTCAATTTTACGAACGGGGCACCGAAAGTGCCTTAAAATGACAGTAGCACCACAAGTGTTACTATATGTGAGTGTCACTCGAACCCCTTATTTAACTAAAAATCTAAACTTATGTTAATTATATCACTCTAAAAGATGATATTATAATAACTATTTTAATTTTTTTTAATGATTAATAAAAATGTGTAAGGAAAGAGCATATAGAATTTTATTGTATGAGTAAATTGTACTAGTACGGAGTATGATTTTTTTACTGGAGAATAAAAAAAGAAATTTATTTAACTTTTTATTTTATTTTTTGTAATTTTTGAACAATACAGATGCCAAAAGAGATAATAAGAACAATTAGGGGAGCATGCACCAAAATGAGCATGGAGTCCGGGGAGGCACTCCAAGAATTGGCATCATGCATGAGGAACATGAGCCACCCCGCCGCCGCCGCCACCAAACACCTCACCAACTCCAAAACCGCCGCCAAAAGCCTCAAGCTCCTCCTCATCAACTACTCCCCGGCTTGTTCCTTCTCGGAAGACGGAGGCGGCGGTGGCGTCGACCTGCTTCAGGTGATTCCAGCCGCCGCCGTGGCCGCCATCCTCGCCGAGATTGTCGCCTGCGTGGAAACCATCGGCGAGGCCGTGACCGAGCTCGCTTTGCTGGCACAGTTTAAGGTCGTCGATGGCAGGAGCGGCGGTGGCGAAGTAGTTATTTCTTTAGAAGAGAAGACATCAAAGGTTTCTGATTCTATCGATGTTATTATTGCGTCTGAGCCATCCGATAGCCGGACGGGTCAGACGCACTGAGGAGATGGCTCGTACACGTCTAGTATGACCATGGCACCATGCATTATAAAGATCCCAAGCATTAAGACTAATTCTCCTTTAACATAGACTAAGCTTCATAATTATTTATTTATAACAAAGTGTTTTCCAACCTTTTCTACTTAGTTTCTTATTATCAAATATTACTTTCGCAGTTTTTTTGGGTATCTTTTTTTACAATATAGTTTTTTATCTTCTATCATGTTGTACGTATTAATTTGAAGACAAAAAGTGTAATTTAACGATGATCATATATCATTATCGTCATACACAATTTCATAGGTTGGTTCTGATGCGTCATTTGTGAATTGTAATCAATTTCGACTACAACTATAGTCTACAGATATGTAGTCTTTCATCGGAATTCTAGTTCACAGTCATAATCATTATTGTTGTTCATGTTCATCCCACCAATATCATAAATAACCAATTATTAAATTTACTCTTAACGCTATTATGTTTGTGACATAAATTAAGTTTGACATTTTTGTGTCTTTAGCTAGCTAGCGCTTTAGTCATATGCGAATAGAGTCATGCTAGGATAATCCACACATTTTGGGTTAGCTTGTCTTCATTTTTTGTACTGACACGTACAAACAACAAATATTGGTATTGGTGTGAGATCAATAGTTATTGTCTATGTGTGTTTGTGTAGAAGAGAGAGTCATAATATGTTGTTTGTGTTAATCATACAAATATCTATTAATTTCATGTATTTTACGAGAGATTTGTGATGTCATATTTAATTTCATGGTATGGATAGTGTCAAATACTCAAGTTTAGAAAGAATGTATGATTATGGTTATGCAGGGAAGCACGGTCAAAACACAACGAAAGCGAATAAAATCTTTTCTCCAAATAAATGAGATGAATAACAAACACAATGAACTCTGAAAAATCAGTAGCACACACAAATAAATGGCAGCAATAATAAAGTAGAGGACATGCAATTTACGTGAAAAACATGGCCGTTCAACAACGGCTCCCAAACTTCCACTAATCACCAAGAATCAAGTAGATACAACAAGTTCTCCTCTCTAGTAAACACTAGAGGCACACACAATCATCAAGAAGCAACCTTGGAACAACAACAATCAACAATTCACCATAAAATGGAGTAAAAACTCTCAAAAACACAGGTCTGAAAACGCAACAAGAAAACCACCTTTCGGGCATCAAAACGAGAAACTGACCGTTGGATTTGAAGTGGAGTATGTGAGGAACAACATACTAAAATTTGAGCACGATCAGACTTCGTTTGGCCTTCGATCCGGACAGAATTTGAGGAACAACATACATTTTACTTTCCAACATTTTTATAATTTGTTCTAATTTGAATGGTTCTAATGATTTATATAGGTATATATGATATGAATGATTTTAATCTTATTTGGTTTTAATAAAATACGGAGTACGTAATAATTATAAACAATATTGAAGAGAACGCAACCTTAGTCTTGGGTTGAAGAGTTGAAACTATGGGTTTAATAGTTATTTATCAGTTTAAAGAGCTGTGAAATTAAGTTTCATCTGCATTTTGGTCGCTCGAGGACGTAGGCCTCAACCTCGATTAAAGTTGAAAGAAAATATTCCGCCGTCCCTACATAAATGTACTTGTTTTTCTAAATCTAACCAAACTAACATATCACCACTTTCTTCTTCCACGCTCTCTGTATTATGGTAATTTCCCAAACTTTGCTCGTATCAATTTTTATCATGAAATTTAATATATATTTTTTAAATATATAATTTTTTTGAATATATTATATAAAATGTATTTTAATTAAATTTCAATTTTAAATAAATGAAGTATAAATAAAGACGAAAATGAGGAGAGTGATAAAAACGGCGCTTGTCATAACATTTCAACCGCTAAGACGCAACGAGTCAACGGCCGAACTGAGACAGACACTCATTGGATCCGTTCCCATGGCTTCAGCTAATGCTCCGCCTTCTCCACCGGCTGCGGCGGCGCCGGGAGATCTCATCCATGTGTTCTGGCACGAAGGGATGCTGCGCCACGACGCAGGCAGAGGCGTGTTTGACTCCGGGATTGACCCGGGGTTCCTAGACGTGCTGGAGAATCACCCCGAGAATGGCGACAGGGTGAGGAACATGATCTCCATTCTCAAACGAGGCCCAATTTCACCATTCGTTGCTTGGCACCATGGCAGATCTGCTCTCGTCTCCGAATTGATCTCCTTCCACACCCAGGGTTCTCTTCCTTCTCTTTTACAGCTGAAAAATTAGGGTTGTGATTTTAAGTACTGTATTCCATATTCGGAAATCAGTATGTTTCATTTAGGGCACAAGAGTTAGGTTCACTTTTTTTTTGTATAATTAATACCTCCCTCCCTCCCTCCGATCTTTAGGATTTAGTTGTACATTATTCCATTTGTCTAGTTACTTCACTAGGATTAGAGATTAGAGTAGTTAGGTAGACCTGTGTGCATGTAGTTTTTGTTGGTTTGGTTTCATAGCATATAGTGTGTGCTTGTGTGCTATGAATCTAGTTGTTCGGGTGATCACATGTCTTTTCTCACTTTACTCTACTTTTGTTAGTGCTATTGTGGTTTGTTTGCTCGTAGGTTTGAATTTGATTTGGGGTATCTTCGAAAAAACATCTCTACTTTCAAGTCGGGGTGAAGGCTGTGTTCACTCACCCTCCCCAGACCCTCCATTGTATGCTATTCTATTCAGTTTGTTGTTGTTGGTGTTGTAATATTACAATAAATTGCTCAACACACCCATGAGGTACAACAAACTCACAATGATTCATTTTGTCATTTTAACATTATTGTTACGTCTTAGGTATTTTAGAAGGGGTACAATTAAATCCGGATGGAGGGAGTATGTGTTAAGTGCTCATACTCCTCCGGCTACTATGTGTTATTGACTTATTAAAAATTGTATTCATTGACCTATATGGTCTGTCAAGTGTTGGACTTATCTTCCCGTTTAATTTTTATTTGTTTGTGTTTAAGTTGGCTTTTGTAAACTTCTCTTTCTTCTTACTTTGTATGTAGTATAAAGTTTTGGACAGTAAATGCAACAATGCATCTAGGGTCTAATGGAAACAAACTCTATTTTTTACATGGGAAAACACATTTGATAATCTGGCCAGAGTATGTGAATGAGCTGATTGAAGCAGATGGAAGTGGCGGGAAAGAACTTTGTTCCGGAACATTCTTAAACCCAGGGTCATGGGAAGCTGCCCTACTTGCGGCTGGTACAACGTTGTCTGCAATGAAACACATACTTGATGGAGGTGGGAACATTGCCTACTCTTTGGTGAGGCCGCCCGGCCATCATGCCCAACCTTCTCAAGCCGATGGCTATTGTTTCCTCAACAATGCTGGCCTTGCAGTGCAACTAGCTCTAGATTCTGGCCACACAAAGGTTGCGGTTATTGACATTGATGTCCATTATGGGAATGGGACTGCTGAAGGGTTTTATTGTTCTGATAAGGTTCTTACGATCTCTCTTCATATGGATCATGGATCGTGGGGCCCATCTCATCCGCAGAAGGGTACCGTGGATGAGCTTGGTGAGGGAAAAGGGTTTGGGTATAATTTGAATATACCCTTGCCTAATGGAACGGGAGATAGGGGTTATTGTTGTGCCATGACACATATAGTCATCCCTGCGATCGAGAAGTTTGAGCCTACTTTGATAGTTTTTGTTGTAGGCCTGGACTCGAGTGCAGTAAGTTCCTTCTGCATATTATTACTCTCTTCATCTCATAAATGTGTTATGTTTGTCCATTGTATAACCTTTTATTTGGCAAATTTCTTAAAGTTCATTATCATTTGAAACATGACTTTTTTTATGGGTCGGAATATATTATCTTCGTATCAATACCCCAAAATCAGCCTAATCACAGTAGCTTTATTCCATTATATATTTTCCATAATACCAAA